GGGGCTACCAATATTATGGGGTAAGCGATTTTAACATTTTGATGTCGATGCAGTTATTGGTTCCCGTTATTGTTGTGTTTCGTGTTTACTTCTCTACACTTTCTATTCTATCTTGTTGTGACCGGAGCCTCTTCCAGGTCCTTTGTACCGGAGTGAAATGTCAATAAAGTTGTTTGAATCTTGAATAAATCGATCAGACTCTCATCGATCGATGTGAACATTTGTATCTGAACACGATCAGTGGCCACATCGTCCACAGAGGACAGACACCTGCAGGGTGAGGGGGGGGGGCTGGCAGGAGGAGGAGGAGGAGAAGAAGGAGGAGGAGGAAGAGGAGCAGTGGTGTTTTGTTCCAACTGTTGCATCTGACCCACAACTCGATAAACACAAACATCAACATGTCCTCCTGTGTCGAGCGTGTGCAGTGATACGTGGCTCTGTCTGTCCTCGGCTGGCGAACACACGGTGCGAGGAGAAGCAGGAGGAGAAGTGCGAGGAGAAGCAGGAGGAGAAGGAGGAGGAGAAGGAGACATTTCAGCGGGAGACCTGAACAACAGTAAAGTCACACAAACACTTCACCTGCACACTCGCTTCCTCCGCAGTTCACTCACCAGCTGTTTACACTGCGGCCGCGGACTCTGTTGACATGAAGGCAACTTGCAGGCTTCGTGTCCCTCCGCTTGTTTTATTCCGTGTTTCTCTTCGAGCGAAACGGGTCGAAGCAGGAAGCAGCGTCCAGGAAATCAATCCGCACACGAGCAGCGGCTCCGGAAGAGTCCTCACAAAGTTTGATGGCCGCTTCTTCCCCCGCCTCACTTCTCATCCGCTGCTGGGGCTGGAGGCCGCCGCCATGTTGCTGTCTGAGAGTTCACAGCCGTGTGGAGCTTTTTCCTCCCGAAACCAAACGGACCCGCCCAGAGGAGGAGAGAGGAGAGGAGGAGGAGAGAAGAGAAGGAGAGAAGAGAAGGAGAGAGGAGGGGAGAGAAGTGAAGTGAAGGAGAGAGGAGAGGAGAGAAGTGAAGGAGAGAAGAGAAGGAGAGRAGAGAAGGAGAGAGGAGAGGAGAGGAGAGGAGAGGAGAGGAGAGGAGAGGAGAGAAGTGAAGGAGAGAAGAGAAGGAGAGAGGAGAGAAGAGAGAAGAGAGAAGAGAAGAAGTTAAGAGAAGAGAAGGAGAGAAAAGAAGGAGAGAAGTGAAGGAGAGGAGGAGAGAGGAGAGAAGAGAAGGAGAGAAGTGAAGGAGAGAAGAGGAGGAGAGAAGAGAGGTGAGAAGGAGAGAGGAGAGAAGGAGAGAAGGAGAGGAGGAGAGGAGAGAGGAGTCTGTCCCTGCTGTTCACACAGCTGCTGCCGGCAGGGGGCGCTATCTGGAGTGAGCCACATGAATTCACCGACTTCCGTCGTGTCCTTTCAAAGTAGTTTGTGGAAAAAAGTTTTCTTTCCTTCTTTCTGTTGTTTTTTTCATCTTTATATTCATAATTAATCTCATTACTCTCATTATTTATCATTACTCTCATTATTTATCATTACTCATATTCTCATTATTGGTGGCATCATGTCTGACGGTAGTTCCTACATTATTCTGTGTGTTGTCTACATTATTATATATATTCACACGGTGTAATGTAAATTCTCTGTTACATATATGTTGTGTTAAATGATTAAAACGTAATACTAACATGACTAAGATGTTTTATTGTGTATATGAAATGACTTCCGGTCTTCTCTCTGTTTTCACTGTCACTTTGACTCACTTGATTTTTCTTTCGCTCCATGTGTTTGGTGGCTCTCTGCCGCCCCCTGCTGTCACAATGTAGCAGTTACACCAATTTAAAAAGCAACAGGTGAGTCTTCGCTGCTCTTTGTTTCCCCTCGTCACTGCCCTGTCATCATTTGAGATCATTCAAGATCCATGGATGACATGAAACTTGTTTTCTTTTTTACTTAGACTTCAGTGTACATGAACATGATGCTGATGCAAACAGGAAGCCAAGAACATCCCACCTCCTCCAGCTGCAGAGACGCTTCAGGATTTCCACTCAATCACTACATCCATGGAGGAGAGACTTCCTCTAAACAGTTTTTATTTCAGTTAAGAAACTAAGTTAATGTGTTCTAAACAAGTTTTATTGTGACGTAGCAGACAGAATAACTGAGCAGACGTTTGAATTGAACGTGTTTGTATTTGTGATGTGGGATTGGTTCAATAGCAGAATTTGACCAGCAGAGGGCAGCGTTTCCACACAAACATTCCTCTGCCATGTCATGTTAAACGTGTAGGAATCTCTTGGCTGTTTATCAGAGAAACTTCACTTCAGTAAAACCAACATGTGACTTTATGATCATAGAAATTCATGGTTTGAAATTCAGTACTTCATAAAAATGAACCTGGACGGTTAGCAACACCGTTTACAATCTTTTCTCAGGCTCCGTCAGTTCAGCAGCTTAATGCTCGTGTTCTCACTAGTGTGCCTCATCAGAACTGAAGAGACTCTTCATATTTAAATACTTCATATGTACATCCAGGGGTCCTCTCTATGGAGGCCTGTGTTTTGAACAGGAGCTCAGACCAGACAAACTTAACACTGTTTGAGTTTTTATGACAACTGAGGTCTACCACAGGTTCTTACATGTTTGGAAGGGGAGGTGAGGTGAGCTCAGCTCTCAGACAGATTCATGGTTTGTCTCTCACACATCAACTCGACTGCTCTTCATCTCTTCTCATTACATGGTCGAAAAGAAAGGTGCACTGTTTTCCTACATGTTAATGACGAGCACATAGATTAGCAACTAACTCTTAGAATCTACTTCAAGTTAACAAAACAGGAAACACATCTCTACAGTTTTATTAAGGCAGTTCATTGTCTTATTATTTTAAATTAAAACCAATAAACTCCAGCACAGGCAACTAGTGGTAGTTTTACATTTCAGGTTTCCTATTAGAAGCCAAGTCAGGCAGTTTAAGACAATAAGCTGAGGCGTGTGTCTGTATGACTGTTAACACTTCATGTCATCTATGGGAGAGAACGTGATCAGTTGGGGGAGGCTGAACTCTTGTTTCTTTGGAGGCGAGGGCGTCTTCAGTGTGTCCAGGTCCAGTGAGAACACCTTGTCCGAGGCTTCCACCGGCTGTCCAGTTAACCAGTCTCTGTCCGCGCCAGACACCGTGTCTCCTGAGAGGAGACACTCCGGTGTCTTCGTTCTACTTTTGATAAAGGAGCCGCCCTCGCACGCCTGCTGGGTCTGACCCCGAGGAGTCGTAGTTTGCGGCGACAGCTTGGCGTCGGTCTTTAAGGAGGGGACGAGGAAGTTGTCGTCATCTTTGCCCTTCATGTCGACCCCGTCATCGTCCAGGCTCAGCAAACTGTCGCAGCTCGACATTTCGGGAAGCGTTTCTTGGTCAAGGGTGAACTGCACCGCGCTGCTGCCGGTGCCGCTCGGGCTGTCGAGGGTGTCCCACAACAGAGTGGTTTTGAATGAGGCCCCCTGCTGGCAGACAGGGGGGCTGCTGTGGCTCACAACAGGAGGGCTAGTGCTGCGGGAGAGGCTCTGGGAGTCGGAGCTCGTCGAGACATCGGGAGGCTCCTGGAAGGAAGCGAGCCGCTCCGTGACGCTGTCATTGAACTTAGCTGAGCGTCGGAGCTTCTCTGCTCGGTCCTCTTCCACTGCCTTCCGCCATGAGCTTTTCACATCCATGACTTGAAACAAAAGAGCAAAACATTTGAGTTCCTTAAAGAAGAAAAACACTTTTCACCACGTGCATACAGAAAAATGGAAATAACATCCTGTGACTTACTCAAGCTTTCAGGGGTGCGTGGCAGTTGTTTTCTAGTAGAGAAGGGATCTCCCTGAAGAGTGGTGAGGAGACCCTCCAAGTCCAGACCTTTGACTCTGACTTCTGAAGGACTTGCAGTAGTGACAGCATCTGCAAACTAACACACTTATATCAAACCTCCCGGTCATTTCTAAACTTCTATATTTCATCACATTCAGTTGAGTCTTTGATGTACCTGATCAGCGAGGTTATCACACTCCATGTCCAATATCTGAGTCTTCGTCCTCACGGGAGCCACCCTCTCATGAACTGTAGTCGTCTTCCTCACACCGGTCTAAAAACACAAGCACAAACTTGTTACATACGGTTTAGTCCAAAAACAAAATCAAGGATGGGGGGAGTCAACTTAAAAAGAGGTTAGTGGAAATGTAACTCGCCTGAGGTGGTGATACAGCTGGAGCGCTGAGAGGAGGGGATGTGTCAAAAAGCCAGTCGAGAGAGGTGTTCGCTCGTGATGAAGCTTCAGTGGAGCCAACGGGACTATCAGTCCTCTCAGCTAATGCAGAGTAAGAGCTGTTTCAAAAGAGACCAAAAACACACGTTATACAAAACGTGACACAACTATGTCTATCATACGTTATGTTTTCTCTATGTCTCAGCGTTATATCATCAATTTTATTTTTATGCTGCGTTTCTATACTGCTTAGATTAAGTCACAAATGAATGTATCTGCTCCGTATCTGTCCGTGGCGATTTCTCTCAGTTCGCCTCGGTCATCAGAGAGCACGTATGTTATAGGGAGGACTAGTGACGGACAGAGCATGGCTCAGGACTGCCCAGGTATCTGCCTCCCAATACACCACATTCATTTCCCTTAAAAGTTGTCTAGAGATGTCTCAAGATGGATGACGTTACCTTTTCAGGTTTGAATAAGTTGGGGTGGCGGCCTCATGTGATTTACTCTCGGCAGGCTTCTTCTCTGAAAAATGTATCGAGTACAATTACAAACAATATAAACTTAGATCAAATGTAGTATAACTGAGTTCTGCTTACCAAGAAGTTTAGCAGGATACTGGGAAAAGACACTACTTCTGTAACTAGCCTCAGTCATCGGCTTAAATGACAACGGCGCCATTGGTGAGAGGAAACCGAGAGCCTAGAAAAAAGATAAAGAAATCAAGCTTTGCAACTTCAGCAGAAAAGATGGAATTGTGGTGAGGCGCAAGATTTCCACCAACTGAGATCCGTCCCCATTTAAATAATTACAATTCAGCCTTTGCCTGAAGAAACGCAAGGATTTTAATTAGTGTCACCACTCACAGGATCTTCATTCAGAAAAGAGACTAGTGGCGTTTCATTCAGAGTGTCCATCCACTTCCTGTCCCACTCAGCCTCCAAGTCTCTGATGGTACTCCTGACCTCAGGGATTTCCTCCTTAGAAATGTTCTGCCTGAGAAAGAAAATAAAGACGTTAATACGATCAAATATTCAAACGTGAGAATATAGACGCTTTCAGACATGCACTGGAGTCCAGGTATCTCCCTGAAATTATCTGGAGGGGTTGTATGTGAGAACCCAAATATCAGAGTCAAATGTCACAGCAGGAAAATGTTTGGAGAATTCCCAGTGAGGAAATGGGCATGTTGATAACAAACCAAACACTATCTCAGGATGAAAGAGGGGCCAAACACATAGAAGACGCCACTGAGGATGAGATTCGGGAGATTTGTTCATAAAACAAGTGATTTCTGCAGCAGATTTTATACAACAAGTTCTACATCCTGCATGTTCTACCGAGGGGGTGTTCTGGAGATTATCCTGTTAGGGTATACCTGATGAGGTGGAGGTCCTGCAGCACACGGGCCATCTGCTGACACTTCTCCTGCAGGTTCTGAGGACTGAGCTGAAACTTTGGGGCGTGAGAAACTTGAGAACGCTCGTCCTTGAGGATCTGCAGCGCGTGGGTCATCAGCTCCAACACACACAGGAGGTTCAGCTGGCCGGCCTCATAGACGTTCCCTGAACTCAACTGGAAGGCACACAAACAGGACATTGAGACTCCGAGTGATTTATTCATGCTGCAGTGCATGAATGCTTGGCCTGAAAATAGCTGCTGTGCATCCCCTGTGGCCACAGACCTCAATCATCACCCTCACCTGATGTGGTAGTCGTTCGATTCTCTCCAACAGACAACGGGGAATTTTGAGCTCTCGATCCGTCCCATCCAGGATGTTTTGATCAACGTCTCCCTTCAAAACACTCGCCACTGCATTCTGCTCCTCTTTGGTAGTGGACAGCATTCGATCAATGTCTGCCCACAAGGAGCGCACCTTTGGGTGATTAAGTTTCTGTGAGTTATTTGAAAAAATATCAAGGTCTCAACACAGAAAAAGGTCTTAGTATAACCTTTTACAAATCAAGTTTAGACTTTATTGTCCCCTGAATAAACACAAAGACACATTTCAACACAGGCAACCCACAGGTAAGAAAATATAACCCTCCTGTGCAAACATGTCACATTCACAGAGGCAGTTCTTAGCGCTGTAATTGCAGAAGGGACAAAGCTCTTGCTGAAATGGGCACGCCATTTAATGAATGAGTAGTTTACTGGGAATACCTTGTTGGTCTTCTCAGCGAGAGAAGCTCCCTCTTGTGCAGAATCGCTGCTGTAACGTCTAAAAGTAGATAATGCAAAGTGTTCAATCCATCTAACAGCGTTAGTCAGAAGAACAGACAAAAAAAAATTATACATACTTGAGCAAGTCTCCATACTTGGCACCCTCTTCTCTAAGATCCCTCATAGACTTCACCAGAAGCCTTTAGAAGAGATCAACAAAACAGGATAAATAAGTAGAATCAGACTTTCATGTGACACGAAGAAAACCAAACCCTCCACAGCAAACGCATGCTTCATTTGCAAACCTCTACTCTCTTCAACATCAAGTAGCTTTGTGCACATGGCTTTAATTAGACTGATTGCAGACACCTTCCACAGTGGGTTTTACCAATCAGTGCAAACAGGTGGGGCATGAAACAAACAGCCAATCAGATGCAACATCAAGAGCAGCTCATTTAATATGGCACAAAATTAAAGTGAATTAGCCAACATGGTAGAAAATATTTACAAAAAGATAAAAGATACCGAAAACCATGCAAGAAAATAATAGTAAGCAGCAATAGAAACAGTGAAAACAAGACGACCATACAAAGAAGTATGAGGCCACACAGGTAATGAAGTCACAGAATTGATGTTACTATTCACATTTGAAACGATTCTGTCGCAAATGTCTCTATTGAGTATTAATAAACTTTTTAATCAGTTTAACCTTATATGGACAACTATAATTTATTAGGGCTCTGCTAACTGTTATAATACTCCGACAGTGCTTGACACTATTTATTTAAAAGTAACAATGTTGCTAAACAGTGAAATGAAGAGAAACTGAAATACTATGATCAAATTTTTAGTGCAGCTATTTTGTGTAAAATTTTAAAGTGATCCTCACCTTTATTGTGGTGTATTTTGTTTTTGTCCATCACGACAGAGAAACTGGATAAATTGCCACATATGTGTTATTGTAATACATGACGTAGATTCGATCTACAGCTTGCTTCCTGTGATGTCTACGTAAACAACTAGCTGTGTCCAGCTGGACTGCACAGACTTACTGTGCTCGTCGCTGATACTCCTGGAGAAAATGATCTTGATCCACTGCTGTTTTCAAAAACCTTTTACTGGTCAGGTTGAGTCTCTTCTCTGCCATGTGCAGGGAGGAAGCGGGCATCGCTGCCGCCTCAGGGACCCAGCTGTCTTCTGCCGATGACAACATTCAAGATTCACTGACTCACAAGTCCTTTGCATGCTAACTTTGTAACAATAAAATTAGCTGAGGTGAAAGGAAGCTTGGCAATCGTTGTTAAACTTTACGGTTGTGTTCAGATCGGGAATACTTCCTGCTGGTGGTGAAATGTTCTTTAATGAAGACCCACCTGTGGTGAAAGTCTTCATTTCCTGCAGCATGACATGGTTCGACAACTGAAGCATCAAGCCGATAAACTTTGGGCCTCCAGGGGAAAGGAACAAGGATGCCACAACTTTGGATCCTGCATTTGCAGTTTCATCCTACACAAGGTTAAAAACAAATTAATGTCTACATATCTTAATGACGATCTTTCTGAACACACCAAAAACATGAACACAATAGTGAAACACCCTCAGGATCTCACCATGATTTCTCGCAGCCAGGCGCAGGTTACTTTGCGGAACTCAGCGTCTGCCTTGTGGTTCAGAACAGGCCAGCAATGCCTACAAGAGAAAGATTAGATCAACGTGTTTGATCACAGTTGGGAAATGCAAGATGAGATCAGAACCAAGAAACAAAACAAGTAATCAAGTGATGTAGAATAAAAAGAAAAGAGACATTCAAAGAGTATGTGTATAATAAACAGTGAATCCTGCACGTTTCTATAGGAATGGGAAAACATGATCATGCATATATTTACCTGTATGTGTCGAGAAATCGTGTGGGGTTCAGTTTGACCAACAGGAAATGGATTACTATGTAGGAAGCATCTTTGTTTGGTTTGTCAAACATGCTCCTGTTGGAAATAACAACACGCAGTTAGAACACGAACAGAAAACAACACACGCCTGTTATTGTTGTCAATACTAAAAGCGGACTCACGGCCCCAGGTTGATGTGTTTAGCATTGATGTTCGGTTTGGCGATGGACGACGTCGCAGCGTCCGGTTGGAAACCGAGACCGAGGAGATTGAACCACAGATGTCTCCCGTTCTTCTTCTGCAGCGACACCGGGTTCGCCATTGTTGACAGATGGAGGAAGGAGCGACGTGATTGTCCGGTGGTGACTTAGCAGAGAGCCGACATGGCTAATAACGCACAGCTAGCCGGCTAGCTTTGCCGCTAGCCACACAAGTTTGGCTGTGAGCGGAGTTAGCCTCAGAGCTTTTCAGCGCACATTTAACAAAGCGTTGTAAAGTCAACACGTGTTATAAGAGCCGGCAGAGTTGTGTTGACGTTCAATTACACGTTTATTAAAGTTAGATAAACTAAGTCAACTGTCCGGAAACGCAGCGATTCGAACGACACCCGCCAATTTATTTTCCTGGAGTCCCCCGGAAGTTGATAGAAAGTACTTCCGCTGAGTGATCTTTTTAAATCTTGATTTACAACTTTAAATATTTGTTTATAGTCTATGTGTGCTTTGTTTTCCTAATTTATTTGATTAATACATTTTTTATAAAAAATGTGTTCACTTTTACCTATAACTACACGTTTTTAAATATTAATGTAATATAAAATATAATTTAATACATCATGACTATATAAAAGAGTTGGATAATGTTATGTGTTTCCACAGTATCCCAAAATACAGAATTACCACGTTTAAAAAAATATCTGACATAATAAAGCTATTTACTCAAAAAAGTAGTTTACAGTCTGCGTCAATACATTTTTACCATCTTAGCAGCCATCTCCACAATCTCCCCGTCCACCAGTGTCACCACAGTTTCTTCTCCCAAGTTAGAATTAGAACTCTCTTGCCCTGAAATAATATATTTCAGTGAGGTGTTCCTTCAGAGTTTAACATGTGTAGTAGTAGTGGGAAACTAATATAAAACGTTTATGGCTAAATATAGATTTATAGTCTATAAATCTTTACACAATATGCGTTTAACACTTCTATGTGCCATTATTACAGCATTCAAACAACATATACCCAACAAATAAGTTAAGGAGGTTAAATAAAAACACAGACTAAGCATATGCAGTGACTTCATTTGTCCTTGTTTTATTACAGAACATACATAGATTTAAGTATCCACCACAACTGATCAAGCAGAAAAGAGCAACAGTAAGAAAGAAGTGCTCTTTTTTTTATTTTCTAATCATATACATTATTGAAGTTCTTTTAAAACCAACTGGCAACACTCAGAAACCTTAGATGGATCAGACACTGATGAGTACTTGGAAATCTGAGAATTGACCCCCAAAGAGCGAGCCAGGTCCTGGGCTGTTTGGTCTGAGGCCACGGTGGTTCCCAAGGCCACCAGCAGCCGAAACACAGCCTCCTTGTCTTGCACCGTCTCCAGAGCTCTGCTGGCCACAGAGAGGCACTGGGCCTTGGCCTCAAGATCGGGTTGGCTGTGCAGGCAGCCGGCATAGTTAAGCACCAGAGTGGCCAGGGCAACGTGGATGTTCTTATTGCTGACGATGGCCAGGTCAGCGGCACGTGATAGCACAGTCTCACGCTGGGCCATGAGGAGGGCTCGGCCGTGCCTGCCACTGAAGCAGTTACACAGAGTCCGCAGTGCTAGCATCTGGTTGGCAGGACGCCCCTCAGGCTTCATGAGGCTCAACAGGTGGTTACACAGCTGGACTCCCTCTGCCTCGCCACAGAGGCTCTCGTTAACCTGCGGGTGGCGCACTGCCAGCCTCATAATGTCCAGGACAGGAAACACTATGTCTACAATCCAGGGGAGAGGAAAGGGGAGTTTGGTTAGTGAATATTATTGTATTGGAGAAACGTTTGGATTCTGATATTATGGAATAACTTTGCAGTAAAACATAAAACCAATGAACAAAGACCATCATAGATTGGGTTAAGGAGCTGTTGCTGTACCTTCAGGCCAGTGACAAGCCTTCCAGAGGAGGTTGATCTGTTGCAGGTTTGGAGCTTCAGAGGAGTTAGGTGCACAGACTGACACCAGCAGCCTGTCAAGGCTTTCCAGAATCTCTTCTGACAGTTTGTGCTCCTGAGGGGCACCTTCGTTCAGTTCCTTCAACTTGGCTGGTGAGAAAAGAACAAATCAGTGCCCCTGACACAATAAGGAAACTTAAATGAACCAGGTGAAGGTGTTTTGATCCAATACCCTCACGAGCAAATGTTTACAACAGCTACATAGCCAACATTAGCATTACCAATGAAGTTTAAATCTCCAGAATCTCTAACTGAATTAAAGAAGTTTGATCAGTCTGTCCTAATAAAGCTTTGATGTCAAGTGGCACAACACATTGTTTTTTGAATGTGTCATGATTTCAAATGAAACTGTTTTCATTGTCTTGCCTGGTAAGATAAAAAAAAGACATAATAATTTGGTCAACATGTGGATCTTGGTGCATTTTACATTACAGCTCATTCAGCACAGCTTTAAGCAGACTGTAGTTGCACATCATCAAGCATACAGAATACTTACCAATGATCTGGATGGCATTGGCTTGCTCAAAGGTCACACCATCAGTCTTGGGGAAATAGATGTTGGTGGCGATCTGCCTGAGGGCTGCTGAGGAGTAGGCACCTCCACCTGCCGAGTAAGACAATTATCTGCCTAGTGCCGTTTTTAAGAGACATGCAATTGACATGGGTATGTGTTGACTACTCATATCTTGATTCATCAGTTACTATGAGTACAAATGCCTGGTAAAAAAAACAGAAGCCTCATTAGCACACAAGAGTGTCTAGTTTGTCACTAAATTGTCCAAAATATATCGGTTTCCTTAGAAATGAACTCACCTGTGAAGGGATCTGCCGCGCCTACAGGAGCAGTTGGGTTGTCACCAGACCCCGGGATGTAGCGTCCAGAGCCTGTGGTGAAAATACAACACACACATAACATTTCTGATGATGTTCAACAACTTGTGGAAAACCTTTCCATTAAAAATACTGTACCAGTGAATGGGTCAGCTCCAAAGCCTGCCCTGTTATCAGCAGCCCCAGGGATATAGCGAGCTCCTCCTGTCAGATGAAGAGACACAAAAATATTGAGGACAATTTCACCTTATATACGATAATTAAAATATAAAAATGTAGAGTTTATAAATGATAAAACACAAGTAGAAAAACAAGTGAGTATCTTTTGGTCTCACCAGTGAATGGATCACCACCAGCAGGCTGGGCTGGTCCCACCACGTGACCTTTCGTGTTTTCGATGATAAAATTGGCAACCTGGTCAAGGAACATGGGGCTCAGGTCATTCTTCTGTAAGAAGTTGTGCGCTGTCAGCCAGGGGTCCTCTGACACGTTGTAAGGCAGCTTCATGGATGGCCCTCCCTCGTTCACGTCGATGGTGAAGACGTAGTCGTACTCCTGGGGGAAAGATCACGGTTCAGTGACGACTGTTCTCATTGCAGATTTCATACCCGGTCAATGACGTTGTGTTCTTACCTTTCCTTCATACATCACACTCTTGGAAGTTTGTTGATTTGAGCCTCCGACCACGTCTCCGATTTTTACCCAGCGGCCATCGCTGACACTCCACTGATATGCCTCCACCTTCTCATCATCTTTGATGAGCCGCGTCTGTCCATCACGATTTCCTGGAGGAAGTAAGAGAGCAAATCTTTCCTGAAGCAAAAAAGGCTACTTTCTCTTTATCAGTTGTGAACCAGTGACACAGATGCAATAATGTGAATAAAAAATATGTTTATTTTCTTACAATACCCTTTCTGGGATTCAGCTTCCTCCATCATGATTCCTACATGTTTCTCTACATGTCCCATTGAATTCTATGTTTTTTTCAGACAGAGGAACCTCCAGTAGTTTGTATTTATGATAGTTATTCTGCCCAAACATTTTATGGAATATCAACTCTTAGTATGACACAGTTTTTCTGTTATGTATCATGTGTTTTCCTTGTGTACTTTGTACATACTGTATGTTTAATTAAGCTTTTTGCACTATTTCTTAACTATAACATGTATTTTTATTGCTGAAAACTGTTGTGAAAGTGTGTTTGTTAACATAGATAGTGTGAGCAGATTTTCTCTTTTTTTCAAACGTCCAGTGATATTTCCTTACCAGGCTCATTAAGATGTTCCCTTCCAGGAAGATCCTCGAGTTTGATGTCTCCAAAGTCACCTGTCTTTGGGTCAATGGTGGCTTTGGAGAGCTCATCCTCAAAGGCCTGTAGGTCCTCTGCACTGGCCATGCGTTCCTGAGCTTCCGTAAAAACACGGATGATTCCATCACTGTGGGCAGAGAGGCAGCATCTGGGTTAGTCACAAAACTACTTACTATTCTAAGTTCACCTATGAATCTACATCATGTTGTTTGGACAATACATGAAAAATGCATGCTGTGAAAAGTAGTATAAAAATGTGTTTAAGTATGTATGATGTGACAAATGGAGAATGGATGTGTTTAGGGAAATTGTTATTGACTAAATATGCTACATGCAGTTCTGTTACCTGGCTCCAACAGCTATATCTCCATTAGGAAGGATACAGCAGCACCAGACAGACTGGGCAGGCAGGCGGATGGTCTGGGTGCACTCTCCCTTCTTCCATATCCTCAACGACCTGTCCTCTCCTGTGCTTACAAAATCTGATGGAGAAATAACATCATATGTGGTCCGGCTGAACAGCAGAAAAGAATGGATGTTGGTTGTAGTGGTTAGTTACACCCACATTTCAGGCATTTAACTATGAATATAACTGAACATACCTTGGCAATTGGGGAAGATGGCTAAGCTGTAGATGTAGTTGGTGTGGCTGTAATAGACCTGTACACATTCACCTGTCACCAGCCACCTTCTGATACTAGTGTCATTGCTGCAGGAGAAGAACTCAGTGTTGCTGATCACTGCGAGTCCCCTTACACAGTCTTCATGACCTAAAATGGAAGAAAGAAAAGATTGTTGTATTAGTGGCTCTTAAACATTTAGCTCCTGTACAATCCTACAACATCTCTGAAAAAATTAACCTGAATAACCCACATAATATCCAGTTATCATAAGAGAATAATACCGTTTCCCATTTGGAATTTCTTGCTATGACATAACTGATTTTTTCCTCATCATAATCTACATGACTTACTTGTACTGTTTATAATAACCTGATATGCAAACAGAGATTAATCATATATGAACAAACACAGATTTGTATCAAAAACAAAGAAAATTTACTCAGTTTAACAATTTGCAAACACTCACCTGTAAATGTTTTCTCACATCGACCAGCTTTCCATAGCTTTATGGTCTTATCTGCCGATCCAGACAACATGAGGCCTTGTTCAGGCAATATGACCACTGCCCACACTGCTGCAGAGTGGCCCTGTATTCAAAATAACAAGCAGACAATATGCTCTGTCACAATATCCAATCATATATTTAATTGTTGAAGT